GGGGCCCCTGGTGGCCTAGGCCCCTGCGGCAGAAACTGGCTCTTGGTACGTGGAATGTAACCTCACTGGGAGGGAAGGAGCCGGAGCTTGTGTGGGAGGTTGAGAGGTACCAACTAGATATAGTTGGGCTCACCTCCACCCACAGTGTCGGCTCTGGAACCAAACTCCTTGATAGGGGTTGGTCCCTCTCCTACTCCGGGGTTGCACAGGGTGAGAGGCGCCGGGCGGGTGTGGGGATACTCACGAGTCCCCGGCTGGCAGCCGTGCAGTTGGAGTTTGTCCTGGTGGACGAGAGGGTCGCCTCAATGTGAATTAAAATCGCAGAGAGGAAAACTCTGACTGTTGTGTGTGCTTATGCACCAAACAGCAGATCGGAGTATTCTGCCTTCTTGGATCAAGTGGGTGGGGTTCTGGAAAGGGTCCCGCCTACAGACTCCATAGTCTTACTGGGAGACTTCAATGCTCATGTTGGCAATAACTGGGAGACCTGGAGAGCCGTGATTGAGAAGAACGGCCTGCCCGACCTAAACCCGAATGGTGAATTGTTATTGGACTTCTGAGATCACCATCTGGTGGTGAGTTGGATCAGATGGCAGGGAAGACCGATGGTCAGACCCGTTAGGCCCAAGCGAATAGTGAGGGTGTGCTGGGAACGATTGTCGGAGACCCCTGTTTAGAAAGATTTTAACTCCCACCTCCGGGAGAGCTTTTCTCATGTCCCGGAGGAGGTAGGGGACATGGAGTCTGAATGGACCCTGTTCAAAACCTCCATTGTGGAAGCTGCCAGGCGTAGCTGTGGCCAAAAGCTTGTTGGTGCCTGTCAGGGCGGTAACCCAAGAACCCCCTGGTGGACACCGGGGGTGAGGGAGGCCATCAAGCTGAAGAAAGAGGCCTTTAGGGAGTGGATGGCCCGAAGGACTCCCAACTCAGCAGATAGGTACCGACAGGCGAAAAAGGTGGCAGCCGCAACGGTGGCAGAAGCAAAATCCAGGGCGTGGGAGGAGTTTGGAGAAGCCATGGAAAAAGACTTTCGGTCAGCCTCAAGGAGGTTCTGGATGACTGTCCGGCGACTCAGGAGCGGTCGGGGTGGCTGCGCCCAAGCTGTATTCAGCAGGGGTGGGGAAGCTCTGACTTTAAATGAGGATATTGTCGGTCGGTGGAAGGTGCACTTTGAGGAACTCCTTAATCCAGGAGATATGCCTCCCTCATGGGAGTCATGGCCAGAGGCTTCTGGCGTGTCAAGCTCCATTTCCCTGGTGGAGGTCACTGAGGTAGTTGGCAAGCTCTTCAGTGGCAAGGCACCGGGGGTGGATGAGATTCTCTGGATATTGTGGGGCTGTCGTGGCTGGCACACCTCTGCAATATTGCATGGTCCTCGGGAACAGTACCCTTGGACTGGCAGACCGGGGTGGTGGTCCCTATTTTTAAGAAAGGGGACTGGAGGGTGTGTGCCAACTATCGGGGTATCACACTGCTCAGCCTCCCTGGGAAAGTCTGTGCCAAGGTGCTAGAAAGGAGACTTTGACCGATAGTTGAACCTCGGATTGAGGAGGAACAATGTGGATTCCGTCCCGGCCGTGGAACAATGGACCAGCTTTTCACCCTCTCACGGATTGTTGAAGGGGCATGGGAATTTGCCAACCCAGTCTACATGTGTTTTGTGGATTTGGAGAAGGCTTACGACCGTGTTCCCCGAGATATCTTGTGGGAGGTCCTCCGGGAGTATGGGGTGCCGGGGCTGCTACTCCGGGCCATTCAATCTCTGTACTCCCGGAGTGAGAGCTGTGTTCGTATACTCGGCATTAAGTCGGACTCTTTCAGTGTTAGCGTTGGACTCTGCCAGGGTTGTGCCCTGTCTCCACTCCTGTTCGTGATATTCATGGACAGGGTGTCAAGGCGTAGCCGTGGTCAGGAGGGCATTATGTGTGGAGGCCGAAGGGTGGCGTCTCTGCTATTTGCAGACGATGTTGTTCTTTTGGCTGGATCACATGGATGCCTCCAGCGCGCACTGGAGCAGTTTGCAGCTGAGTGTGAAGCGGTTGGTATGCAGATCAGCACCTCCAAGTCTGAGTCCATGGTCTTAGCCCGGAAAAGGATGACATGCCCACTCCAGGTAGGGGGAAAGGACTTGCCCCAGGTGGAGGAGTTTAAGTATCTCGGGGTCTTGTTCACGAGTGATGGGAAGAGGGATCGTGAGATTGACCGCAGGCTGGGACAGGCGGCAGCAGTAATGCGGTCACTGTACCGGACTGTAGTGGTGAAGAGTGGTTTACCGGTCGGTCTACATCCCGACCCTCACCTGTGGTCATGAGCTATGGGTAATGACTGAAAGAATGAGGTTGCGAATACAAGCGGCGGAAATGAGCTTTCTTTGCAGGGTGGCGGGCTACACTCTATTGGATAGGGAGAGGAGCTCGGCCATCCGGGAGGAGCTCGGAGTAGAGCCGCTACTCCTCTACATTGAGAGGAGCCAGCTGAGGTGGTTCGGGCATCTGATCCGGATGCCCCCTGGACGCCTCCCGGTGGGGGTGTACCAGGCACGGGGACAAGACCCCGGGGTCATCCTAGGACGCGCTGGAGGGATTATATCTCCAGGTTGGCCTAGGAGCGGCTTGGGGTCCCCGGGAATGAGCTGGAGGAAGTTGCGGGGGACAGGGTCGTCTGGGATTCTCTGCTCTCCCAACTGCTACCGCGACCCTAGCTGGACTAAGTGGTTAACGACGATGATGATGATGATGATAGTTAAAAAATTCCAAGGTGTAACTTTTCAAAATATCTGTGTATTTCAATGGTTAAGATATAAACAAAGTTCAGGGTGGTTTGGTGTGAAATGCTCCCTTGTAGAGAAACGTACAGAGTCAGAATTGTTCACAGTGGTGGTGATAGAAAACAAACATCTGAAGAGTTTCATGCCTCTAAAGCTGCATCACAGAAAGTTATTATATAAAGAGGTGATCATGCTGCTTAATGCGACATTGTTTTTACAATATTTTTGCAAGCTTTTGGCCTAAAACGTATATTTTTAAAAAAAAGCTATTCATGGAAAAGAGATGCATTCAAGGCTAAATAGTACTTCAATAATAGGTTTTAAGATTTAACCCTATTTTAACATTATCAGCTTTAGATATAAAAACTCTTTTGGATATAATATAAAATGGCTATTTTTGAGTTGTAGACATTGTGACCCCTGGTTCCTATCACCACCACTGTAAAGAAAGAGGAACAAGTGAGTTTCTAAATAAATCATTTTACACAAACCACTCTGAATGACTTTGTTTACATCTCAACGATTGAACTGTCCCACTTTTGCTCAATTACTAACTCATCTCAGTTGTAATGTAAAACCCTTAACCAGTAGTATTCAGATAATCAGAAATGATCATCCACCACAATCATGTAATAATTTCCAGTAATCATTTTTATTTGTTTATAATCATTTCATTTCATTGTTTACATGCTTCATTCAGCCTATTCAAACACCTAGGTTTAATATATTATACACTTAGCTATACTATTATACTCTTAGCTAAGCCATGCACCTAATTATATCTAGCAATAACAGGCTCTAATTATCTCTGCTGTAGTGAAGAAGAGAGTCAAACTGCAAATGAAAAAGGCCAGTAAAAAATGCTTTCGTTAAGTGTAATAAAAATAAACACGACAGTTGTCAACAACACAAAAACTCAATGACACAATAACACAAGGCTGGCATGAGCCTCATTTTCAGACTGGGTGTTACATGATGCAGACCAGCTCACCCCATACACTAACTGTATTACTACAAATATAAGCTACATTACAAACGCTAGGTTGCTCCCGAGAAAGGTGGGTCCTTGGTAGCACTGTGCCCTGAAGGTTCCTCTTTGTATTATATAATGCAAAACAGAACAGTCTACCAAGAGAAAATACTGTTGATGTAAATGATAGTAAGCTGGCAAGCAAAACATTGGTGTGAATGATGTAATGTGGCAAACAAAGCAGGCAATAAAATTTAATTTACCATCCTGCAAGCTAAAAACTGTTAAACTCACTGAAAGTGAGTGCATTTTATACCCTGTTATCTATTTACACCTTTAAAAAACATACACAACTAAAGAAATAGCATACTCTGTAGTTTACTGTGCTTTTTAGACAACCTGTAGTAGCTGGTTTAATCTGATGGCATTTCTTTTGAATTTTCTTTGTGTGAGTTTGGTATAAAAAGGAATATAGTCAAAATGTAAGCTAAAATTTAAAAAAAAAAATTCTAGAAATTTAATCTAGAAAAGCAGCCCACCTAGATAGCTGCCTAGCTTTTGGAATGCGTTCAGACTTGCATTCTAGTGTGTATATGTGTACGAGAAAAAGAAAGGCCAGCCTTAGCTACACACTTTCACTAATACAATACTCTTAGCCCACACAGCTTTTGAAGACGATCAGCGAGCAGTGTGAGAATAGTGATATCTATACATACAACACAAGGCATATTTGTATTTGTGTTTACACAGATTAGGATGTTAACAGGATTTCAATACATACATTCAATACATAGATCTCACAAATAATTACTGTAGGTTATATAGAGACACATGCATTTTAAAATGTTTATCTTTTCTTATACCTATCAAACCTATCCTATCAAAGCTTTCATCACACTAAAACTGAAACTAAACTCTACATAAAAACTAATATAAACTGTTGCTTTTCAGAAAAACAAGATAAAACTATAATGCACCCTTAAACCAATTGAAACTAAACTAAAAATGCAAACAAAAAAATGGCACTAATGAAAATTTAAAAAAAATGAAAAATGGAAAATTTATATGTGAACGGAAACTTCAATCTGTCTGTACCTGGTTAGATAAACATCACAATCCAACACTAAGTAAACAGACATAATATTAACATTTGACCTTTTTAAAAACAAAAAAGGAACTGCTATTGTTGCATCTAAATAATTCATAGTGTCTTCCCCTTTTACTATTGTGTGAGCTGTTGCCTTAGATCCAGGGTCCTCTTCTTCAAACGAAGCTACTCAGCTTCTTTTGAGCAATGGTGAGGCGTTCTATGCGGGCCTCCGTGATAGCGCAGCGTCTGCTGATGTCCGAATCCTCACGAAGGACGTCAGCTATGTCGGCACCTTCTATTAACCCTAGCATCTCACTGCAGAGCAGATGAGCAGACTCCTTTAGCATGAAGTATCGGATCAGCATGGGCACCTGGTCAGCCAACCGCTGCACAACAATCTGTCAGGAAATGAAAAATGATCATAGTAGTGATTGCTCTCTGTCTTTGCACCACAAAAGATGTGTCTTGGCAAGTGAAATTATCTTAAACCTAGTCAATATATCTAATATTTCTTATCATGATTGTTGTAAACTTATTGTAAGTTTATTTAACTAATTTCTAGACATTTTTTACTTGGTTGGGTGATTTTAGTACAGGGGTGCTGAAACCTATCAGCAAAGGGCTTGTGAGGCTGCAGGTTTTTATTCCAGCAAAGCACATGATCAGTTGTTTGACTGAAAGCAATTGATTAACGAAGTGAAATCAGGTGTACTCCTGCTTGTTTGGAATGAAAACCTGCTGCCACACCGGCCCTTTGCAGGTAGGATTGGACACCCCTGTTTTATTAAGTGAAATTATCTCACTATTCACGGTTTTCCTAGACAACAACATTTACCATTACACTTTGCACGTCTTTGGAACAAGAATGGGCACGACTTCCGGTATGCGTTTGTTGTTGACAACCGATAGCGTACGGATTAGCTTCAAGGCTAAAGAGATTTATCATTAGCTAGTTATTAAACTGTGTAGCTAGTTGGGTTTCGCTTTTAGGATACAAGAAGATGGAAGTTGTGTTGCGGTGGCATCATGGACAAGAATGTTTAACAAGAACTGTAAACAGTGTCACCCAGTCTGTTCCTCATCTATTGAACCTACCCCAAGTCTGGGTTGACGATATGAAACTCTAGCCAGATGTCACGCATGTTGACATTATCAACTACCTTGTTTTTTTCTGAAGGTGTAGACAGTGAGAAGCTGAGAAATTAGAAAAGCACAGAAGCTTACAATTATCTACAAAGCAATAAAATTGGAAGGGTTCTGTGTTTTAATTGCGAACAGTTCACATTTCTCAAAGCTGAGGTACAGCCAGGCCAGTCTGTCGAGAAACCTCAGCATGGGTTATGGTTCAAAACAATGGTGTAGTAGAGACAGCAGGATGGTCTTCCGGGCAGATCTTGTAGCCACGTTGCTGCTGTTTTGTGGAAGGTAGGTTAGGGATTTTAAATGAAACTAGAATACATAGCCAGCTAAGATGAATTTACTCTGAGAAAAAATATAATTGGTTATGTTGCCACAGTAGCAGTAATGATTTATTAGTTTAGCACTGCAGTAGCAAAGTATTTCGTAGGCCGACTAAAATACCAACAGGTGTGCATTCTTCATTCGCTTTGTTCATCAGATTGTATCTCTTGTGCATTTACTATGTTTCATTACAAAATGGAAGGAGCAAACATGAATATTTCGGGGGGGAATTTTTTAAGTTTAGTGCCGCTAGCCATGCTATTTTGGCCTCGTCTTCCTCGGACACTGACATTCTGATCTGTGCATGCCTTTGTGTTCGTAGCATTTATTTTCCAATATCGTTTTAAGCTTTCGATAGCTGTTGTGACCCCCTCTGACAGCACATAATGTTCCTGTGCTTTTGAGACAGTTTGATTGCATTGTAATTACTCCCGGTGAAAAGCGTTACACGCTGGAATTGGAAATGACTAAATTGGGGAGAAAACTGGGTAAAAATCCATGGTTACACGGAGGTTTAGCCCATTCTAGAGGAACTGTTGTGACATCATGGCAACTGACGTTGAGAACAGAAGAAAACCATGGATATTAGAAGATAATTTGGCTTGCTTCAGGCAAGTTTCTTACAACTCAAGTAAAATGACCTGCCAATACAGTGAAATAATTTGACTTACTAATATCACCTAAACAAATAAAAGGTATCTAGAAAAAAGTTTTAAAAAAACTCATAAGGTTGCAACCTCAAAACTAGAAATATTAGATATATGGACTACATTTAAGATAATTTTACTTGCCAAGATACCATTTTCAGCAGAGCAAGAACTCCTCAGGCAGGTTGCACCAGCAAGGCTAATAACTTTGTCATAACTGTCTGGATGTAACTTTTATAACAAGGGTCACCAGTCCTATCTACAAAGGGTGCAGGTTTTCATTTCAATCGAGCAGAAACACACCTCATTCGCCTTGTTTAATCAGTTGGTAACAGTCTTCAAACAATAGACAAGTTATATAAGGTGCTCCTGCTTTGTTGGAATGAAAACCTGCAACCACACTGCCATTTGTGGATAAGATTGGTGATACCCTTCTTTAGACCATTTCACCACCTCATCATAAGCTGAATTTAGACTATTCTAGGACTGTATTAATGGGGTGGCCTTTTGGTGGCCGTATCAACAGAACAGACAATTCCCGCTTATCAACAGCCAACCAATTGGAAAAAGCAGCTGTTATTTAGAGTCAGGCTAATGTTAGCAAGATAGCTACTACTGCTACTCTGTGCAGTTCACCTGTCACAGTTTTCAGATGGCTAAGCTGGCTAAGTGCTATATAACATTTCATACATTAATATAGACAACAACAAAATCAAATGTACTACACAATAAAATCAGGGATCCCCAGTCTTATCCTCAAAGGTCCGATGTGGCTGCAGTTTTTTGTTCCACAGAAGCTGGAGCACGCATGATTCTACTGCTTTAATCAGTTAGTCTAAGTCAAACAATCTGCCCCAAAGATTGGACACCCCTGCATTTAACTAATCAGAAATTGTTGTACCTTGATCATACCCCAGACCACCACTTGGACTCGCCCCTGTTAACATGTGTATGCGGGTTCGGGTTTGGTTTTAAATACACTATATTGCCAAAAGTATTCACCCACCCATCCAAATCACTGAATTCAGGTGTTCCAATCACTTCCATGGCCACAGGTATATAAAATCAAGCACCTAGGCATGCAGACTGCTTCTACAAACATTTGTGAAAGAATGGGTCGCTCTCAGGAGCTCAGTGAATTCCAGCATGGCACTGTGATAGGATGGCACCTGTGCAACAAGTCCAGTCATGAAATGTCCTTGCTACTAAATATTCCACAGTCAACTGTCAGTGGTATTATAACAAAATGGAAGCGATTGGGAACGACAGCAACTCAGCCACGAAGGGGTAGGCCACGTAAAATGACAGAGCGGGGTCAGCGGATGCTGAGGCACATAGTGCGCAGAGGTTGCCAACTTTCTGCAGAGTCAATCACTACAGACCTCCAAACTTCATGTGGCCTTCAGATTAGCTCAAGAGAGCTTCATGGAATGGATTTCCATGGCCGAGCAGCTGCATCCAAGCCTTACATCACCAAGCGCAATGCAAAGCGTCGAATGCAGTGGTGTAAAGTGCCGCCACTGGACTCTAGAGCAGTGGAGACGTGTTCTCTGGAGTGATGAATCACACTTCTCTGTCTGGCAATCTGATGGACGAGTCTGGGTTTGGCAGTTGCGAGGAGAACGGTACTTGTCTGACTGCATTGTGCCAAGTGTAAAGTTTGGTGGAGGGGGGATTATGGTGTGGGGTTGTTTTTCAGGAGTTGGGCTCGGCCCCTTAGTTCCAGTGAAAGGAACTCTTAATGCTTCAGCAGACCAAGAGATTTTGGACAATTTCATGCTCCCAACTTTGTGGGAACAATTTGGGAATGGCCCCTTCCTGTTCCAACATGACTGTGCACCAGTGAAAGACCATAAAGACATGGATGAGCGTGGTGTGGAAGAACTTGACTGGCCTGCACAGAGTCCTGACCCGATAGAACACCTTTGGGATGAATTAGAGTGGAGACTGCGAGCCAGGCCTTCTCGTCCAACATCAGTGTCTGACCTCACAAATGCGTTTCTGGAAGAATGGTCAAAAATTCCCATAAACACACTCCTAAACCTTGTGGAAAGCCTTCCCAGAAGAGTTGAAGCTGTTATAGCTGCAAAGGGTGGGCCGACATCATATTAAACCCTATGGATTAAGAATGGGATGTCACTCAAGTTCATATGCATGTCAAGGCAGACAAGCGAATACTTCTGGCAATATAGGGTACATCAGTACCAGTCAGGCCTGGTTGGCTTGAGTCTCAAAGTACACATGACTATCAGGCTTTAATCTCATGCCCGTGCAGACCTCTAAGGAACATACTGTAGCAAGGCACGTGCTACTCCGGGCTCAATGAGGACGCTGGAGGCATCTCTCCAGCTCACCCTTATTCCCTGGATGTCCATCTAAAACAGGCAAGCCAGCAACACCTGTGTCACCCTTCTCACCGGGGATTCCAGGGAGACCATCCTGTCCTGAATCCCCCTTCTCTCCTTTCTGTCCAGGAAGTCCTGCCAAACCTGGAAGGCCTGGTTCCCCCTTCACTGCTGGGCACTGGCATCGATCAGTGGGCTGCTGCGCTGGCTTGGACAGCATTCTGTGGAGGTAGCTCGTGACTAGCGGCGCTGTTATGGGGTCGTGGGTTTCTCTGAACTCACAAACAGCTCCTGGTCTGCCTTCATGACCCGGGGACCCCTGGCTTCCTTGGGGTCCAGGAGGGCCTTGTAAACCTGGTGGTCCATGCAGACCCTCTAATCCTGGCTCCCCCTTCGGTCCCATGATGCCAGGTGGACCAGTCAGCCCCACTCCAGGCTCTCCTTTCTCTCCTGGTAACCCTGGGACTCCCCTCTCACCCTTTGGCCCTCATGATCCTCTCGGCCCTGGCACTATCTCTCCCGTGAGATCAAGCACTGCCACTGCAGGCGCTCCAGGCTCAACCTTAGGGCCTGGTGGGCCCTGTGGCCCCGGGGCTCCCCCCGCATCACCCTTCTGTGCTTTCGGTTCCTCTATCCCTGGTGTGCCCAGCTCCCCCGCTGAGCCTTTATCTCCAGGAAGACCACGGGCCCTTCTTTGCCCTGTGGACGTGACTTTCTGACTGGACCTGGCAATCCAGTGTTTCCCTGGAATCCTTGCAGGCCTTGAATTCCTCTTTCATCCTGCTCTCCCTTTTCTCCTTTCTGGCCCTTCTCTCCAGCTTCACCTGGTCCAGTAAGGTGTGTGAGCCCGTGTGCGGTCATCACAGGCCCTGGGGTCCTCTGGGGCCGAATTCACCTTTCTGTCCTTTAATTCCACTGGCTCCTTCTTGACCGGGCTGAACTGCATCCCCCTTCTCTCCCTTCTGTCCGCTACCCCAGGCTCAAGGAGGACGCTGGAGGCAGGGTTCAGGGTCGCAGCAGCCATGTTTCTTTAATCACTCACAAAAATACAAACTCAAACAAACCAAAAACCAAAGATACACTATGCTAAGCTGGGCACTCTTCAGTGGCTTCAGCCAGACTTTTCAGTCCTTCTCCTAAATAAGCTTTTCAGCTCTTCACTCAGTCACTCTTGTGGCTGCTGCTCGTCCCTCTCTCTCTCTCTCTCTCTCTCTGTTCCCTCTCGGCTCTTTTAAAAGTTGCTCACGCTGCCAGCCAGATCAGCATCTGCTGACTCCCATTAAGGGCAGTGTGAGCACCCGAGCCGAGAGGGAACGAGAGCTCGCTGCTCAGGCTCCCCGTCACCGCCCCCAGCTTGTAGCTCGAACGTAAGGTATCGTGAAGCAGCCTCGCTGCGGCACAGGGGGCTGGGCCCGGGCTTGCCTCGGTGCCTCTCGTGGCCGGCACCATCGTCTTCGTCCTCCTCCTCAGGCCGTCACTCGCGTGACGCGCGGCCCTCGGCGGAGCTCGGGTTTTGTGCTCCGCCCCCTCCACACTCGCGGCTCTCTCCCTGCTGTCCTCGCCAAGGTTCGTCGCCACTGGGTGTTCGGGCCCCGCCTTCCTGCAGGCTCTCGCGGCCGTCATCGTCGGGGCCTGGGGGGCGGGCGCATGCCACACATACTCTTTTCGCAACTTAGTTATCATATATGGATATGGGTTATCATATATGTATATGTATGGGCTGGGACATGAACAGTACAGTACATGAAAGGACAAAGTGTACATCGTAGAGCAAACTGTTTTTAATAAAAGTAAGAAAGGTAGGCTTTTCAATGATGTGGGCCCTAATATTTTTACTGGTCCTTTAAAAATCTTAAACTTTTTGGTAGGACTACGTGGTAATTAGTCACTGAACTACTAAAACATACCTCATAATAAGCTTTCAGCATTTCTGGATACTTGTTCCTGCTCTCTAGCCCTGGACATCTGTCCTCTGAAGCTCCTTCACTAGAAGAAAGGATCTCATTCAAGGTTTTGAAGTAGATGTCATCTTGACTGTAGACCAACTGCTCCATCTCAAACTGCTCCATGATCCTCTGCTCCACTTTGGTTTCTTGCTTTGACTGAATGTCTTCTATCTTGTTCTGGGGTAGCAGTTGTAAGTAGTTAAGAGACATAGTGACAATACAACAGCAAGCAGCCCATGCCCAAATGCCCAAATGAAGTTAAGGTGCTGCCCATGCCCAACTAGAAAAGTGTTTTAAAATTTCAAAAAGACTGTACTGAAATATTATTCTGTATCATAATAATAATATTTACCATGGCAAAACTTTGGAGGTAAGGATAGATAGGGAAGCATGCTCTGGACACTTCTAAGAACTGGTTCTGGATGATCTCTGAAATGCATGAATCACATTTAAGCAGTGATCACAATCCTTAAAATGACCGTTTGGTGAAAAAACAAATGTGTGCAATTTTTCTCTTTTTTTTAGGCGTAAGTCGACTGACAGTATTATCTTGAATCACTGATAGATGGTCGAGGAGAAGTTGGGTAATTTAAATCACAATGATCACAGTGAACCCATTGGATGATTAAGTAATGCAAAATTGGTGGATTTCTTCTTTAAGGAAAAACGCGGTGGAGTTTTGTATGATGCATTCAGATTGGTTTCTTAGCATCACAGAAACATTAAACAATTGCTGTACTTTATAACGTAAGAAATAAAAAAACAAACAAAATTAAATGTGGCATGGTGTGAGAAAAAAACAGCACACATCATGTTAGTTTCACAAAACTGTTTTCATCTGGTTCCAGTGACCGACCGACAAGCTAACCATGAACTATATTTATGCTACAGAATGGTAGAACCAGATTGGAAGAAACAGATTAGGGCAGCAACAAACAACTAATTTCATAGTCGAATAAACTATCGATTACTGAAACGAATAATCGATTATTCGGATTATGAATCACTACATTACTAAATAACTTTTATGTAGCTAAATTTTATGTAGTAACAAACAATGAAGAATATAAAGATGAATACCATTCAAGAATTCACTGTTTTAATGAACTTTCCTGCTAATACAAAAGATAAAAAATAAAACTCCAATATATTTTTCCTGTCAAAAATTATAACCAAGGATGTGCAGGGTAGCAGCAATAAAAATAACTAAACTAAATCAGTTTTCTTTAATCAAGTAAATAAAAAATCAGTCTAAATTTAAATGTTATATTTAAACAGTGCAGTCTGTGATCGGTCCGTTCTGCTGTCTGTCTACACTTTGCTGCAACTACATTTTACAATCACAGGTCTTTATTGAAACGGAGGAAGGTCAGTATCTCTCCGTGCTCCTGTGAGAGTCTCGCTCTCCTCTGAGAGCGGATACTCCCCGCGGATGGGAAAGTGGCGAATGTTTGTGGCAAACTTCGCTATGAACAGTTAAATTTAAACGACTATCGCCGCGTCCCAAACCACACACTTTTATACTTCACACACTACACTAATGAGTGCACTTGCTATAGCTATTTTTACACACTATTTAGTGTGCTAGTAAAGTGTGCGGTTTGGGATGCGGCGTATCTTACGGAGATGAATCTTCAAGTGATCCGACGAGTTTCCTCTTCAGATGCTCCTGCATGGAGGATGTGCTCCCGTGCCAGCTAAGCTCGGCTTCACAAACAGCACAACTGACGACTTTTTTTCTAAGCTTAGCTCCGGCACTTCTGAGGATTTGTTCTTGAGGCAGCCGTCGCGCTGTTGTTAATTCTCCAGTGAGCGGTATTGTCAAAACGTTTCTAGTGAGCGCGAGAAAATAGTAGTATTTGTTTACCAGGTTCGCCTGGTGGGGCCTCTAAAGCAGGCGTGTCAAACTGGGGGTCTTCCAGGACCAAAAAAGATAGTATTTTAGTAAACTACTGTGTAAAGTTCTTTAAAGAGTAGCTCCACCCTAAGACCTTTTTCCATTAACAGCTGAAATGCACTACTCCGTAATAATAAAATATACCAGCCTTGCTTAAAACGTGAACACATCTTTCCAAACTGTAGAAATATCATTTTTATCGTGGTCAGTTCTGTAAATTGTAAATAACCCAATTAATCTAAGCCTAGTTTGTAATAAAGATGTTGGACCGATTAAGTGAGGATTCTTGCGAATCTCCATAAAACTGGTTGCATCTGATTTATGGTGTTGCATCTGATTTATGTTTCCCTTTACAACTCGGATCCTCGGGCACGCGCGCTCACTGAACAAACGTCAACAGCAAGCAGCACTGGAACTACCCGGGTCAGGAAAGGTTAACGTTAAATGGCCACTGTTACCAACAGTGTCAACCTTTCGCCCGTACAGCCTTGCTCGAACCTTTTTACCACTTTCCGTAGTTCCAGTACTGCTTGTTGTTGATTTCTGTTCAGTGAGTGCGCGCGCCTGAGAGTTCGATTTATGAAGGGGAACGTGAATTTGAGAGGGAACTGACTGAATGTAACACCGTGCCATGAACAGCTTGCAGAACATAAGGGTTTGGGGCCAGCAAGCCTTGGCTGAGCGGTGCAGTCTGCGACCTTGATGTCAAACTGAATGAAACTTAAACAATGTTTAAAGAAATCCACTTTATTCATTCAGAATTCAGTGCATGTAAGAAATCAGGACTCGGGTTATATCTATAATATGAACCTGCTGAACAGATAATTAGAAGCGAGCTGTCATGGTTTTAGAGAGTGTTCTACTCTTCGGACGCCTCTGCCACTCGCTGCTAATCATTTTCTGGCACTACGTTAACTCTTTGGCGTCTTGAGTCAGTGGCTCATACTGTTAAGGCTCAAGACGCCCTACCTAAACAGAAACACCTTCCCTCGTCCAAGATGGGGATGGTAGTAGAGAAAAATGCAACGCCAGCTCTAAAAACACAGCAGCCCAGCCCACCTGGCCAGGGGCGGAGTTGGCTGAAAATAGTGGGGTGTAGTTACTCTTTAACGTTTTTTGTGATGTATTTACACATAAAGCAACAGACACCGAGATTGTGAAAGCAGTGAGAGGTGAAAGCTGTAAGTGGTGTAAACGTACCTCTTATGACTCTGAGTCTGTCAATGGCTGGTTGCTTCAATTGGATCACAAGTTTCTGCACCTCCGTTTCAAACACATTATAATCACTGAAGCCAGGCAGCTCCCGTCCTCTGTACTTCAGGTCATAATCTTTCACCACAGCCTGGACCACCCCATGAACTGTGTTGCATTTCAGTTTTCAGATGAAATTTTTGCTGAACATACCCATCATATACATTCAAACACATACTTAACCCTGGTTCTGGAGGTCTACTGCCCTGCACATTTTAGTGCTTTTCCAGCTTCAACACACACTTTAATTTAATAATGGGCTGTTACTGAGCTGATTAGTTGGATCAGGTGTGTTGGAAGCAAGTAAAACACTAAAAAGAGCAGGACAGTTGGCTTCCAGGATCAGGGTTGAGAAAAACTGACATACATAATGTTGCTAAAAGTACAATACATGAATAACAAATATAAAAACAAAAATCTTCCAAGTTTTTTTTTCTTACACCTATAAGCTTTGATAAGATTTGTTATTCATCCAGCAGAATTCTACCCTTCTAGGTTCCTGTTATTTGCAGTTTCTATTAGCCCATTTTAAATGTAAACTGGATGCAAAGCAATTAGAGGCCTACCAGAAGTTGATTTGCATTTTACTTAAGAAGTATCTTCATTTTTTTTTTTTTTCAATTTTTATTTTTCTACATCATTTGAACCCAGAAGCTGCCCTGTACATTGTGTGGAAATTAATGCACCAAAAGTGAATGGAATAAAATGTATTTACACTTAAATACATTTTAATGTACTAACTTACATTAAAAGTAAAGAACATTTTTGCTTTCTCCTGTAAAGCTGCCATTTTAGAGATCCATGTTTTTTTGGGCAGTGATGTGATCTTTTTATGATTACTGGAATAATATAAGCGCACTCTCAGGAAGGTAGATCTGGAACAGGGGTTGGTGACCACTTCTGTGGGACTATGAGAAGTACTAAAACTTTTTCTTTGTTCATTCAGAACGTATCTGCATATAGACTGTTTACTTACACGGTGACTTTGTATTGACAAGGTGTTCTTTCCACTTTTTGAATTCTGAATGAAGCTGAACAAATAAATTGCCCTCATCACCAGCTACTCCAGATGCCATGTGGTTGATCTTGTCATTGAACTTAATCAAGATCTGTAAGAAAGGACAGCAGGCAGAGGATCTAACCATGCAAGTCAAAACTCAGTACCGGTTGCAGGTTTTGTGAGTTTGAGAATAGGAAGTGGTCACTCACACCAATGAAGAAGGCCTTCAGGTTTTGCGATTCCAGAGGTGGGCTGGCCTTATGGTAGAGATTCAGCTCTTCTCTTGAGCTCCGCAGCTGTCTCTTTATCTCTTCTGAGAGCAGAGGCAGTGATTTCTGAAAAAAATGAAATGACACTTTAAAAGGACACAACTTCATAGGATTTTGTTTACTTCACTACTTACAGAAAACACTGGATAGTGCACAGTTTATCAACCCTATCCATTAATGCAAAAGGACCACCATAGTCAAAGACATCTTAAAATACTGAATGAAACATCTAAAATACCTTGGGGTGAATAGGTTGTAATTTTTAAATCTGCACTGTAAGTGAAGCAAGTGTCTGAGCTCAGAGTGAGGGCAGGTTAAGTTAATATGGCAACTTAAGCTGTGAAGCTAACCTCCTCACAAGCAAGTTTATTTAATCTAACCAGTTACTCACCAGTACACAGACCTAAATAATTTAGGCACTTACAAACATAAAATAACCATACTGAAAATCCAATCTACATCTATGCTCAAATTATTTGTTTTGCGTCAGAAAACAGCAGACCCTGACATTGACATTTAAACCTACCATTTTTAACTGAAACAGTAATTGTATATACAGTGCTGTTTAAGAGTGGATAGTCTGATGATCTCCTTCTTGGGGACAGAAGTCACACTACAGTCTGGCTCGCTGCAAGACAGGAGCCAGGGTCAGGATGACCACAAGCGAAAGAAGCATTCATTCAACTTCTTAACCATTAAGTAAATAAATAAATAAATAAAATAATAAATAATGTCACAAAAGCAAAAATAAATAAAAGTAGGTTAGAAATAAATGAATAAGTAAAATAAATGAATAAGTAAATACATATGAACAAAAACATATATTTATTTCTGTTTTAATATTTATTTGTTTATGTATGTATGAATGTATGTATGTATGTAGGTATGTATGTGTTTCTTCCTCCATTTCATGCTAATGAGGTGGGCAACACTAGCGTAATTCTAACAAACTATTGGTTGAGGGCAGCTTGCAAGATGGAGATGAAACAGATGCTACTAAACAGCAGGTCGATAAAATGAATGTGAAATCCAAGAAAACTGCAATATGGCAAACTGACTTTCTCAGATTGTACAGGATTAATTTCTGTCAAATGACAGATAATGCAGTTATACAGCGTTATTGTATAATTTACATTTAATGAAATGGATGACCTACAAGCATCCTGACTGAACTGTTGCTATCCCAGTAGCATCATCATCTGCAGCTGCTCAGGTAAAACGCTCAGCTTGCCTAAGTCTGCAATTAATTGTCCACTGTCTGATTCGTCCGCTGTCAAGCATAATTGCCATCACTGAAGTACTAGCAATGTTTCAAAAGCAAGGCAAGAGTAACCAAACACACTGCTTTTCCTGCAATTAACCTTGCTTAATTAAGTCTTCCTCATTAGAATACTGGATGATGAATTCTATAAATAAATAAATATATGAATAAATAAGTAAATATATTAAAGAAATCAATGTATAACTACATAAATGCATAAATAAATAAAACAAGTATTTATTTGTTTACGGGTTTATATCATAAATTCCGTTCTTTATGTTTACTTTTCTGCTTTCCATTAATTCATTCTTGTCCTCTGTAGAACGTATCTCCATTTAGTATGTTTCAGAAAGAAGAGACCACTGTCAGATGTGGTTTAAGGGGAGCCACAGCATTTCCTTTTTCTCCCATGATATCAAAAACATGCAGAATGCAGAGGGTGAATCCCCCTCACTCCTGTGAGTGAGTCCTCAGTGAATGTGGGGGTGAAGGGAGCTAAAAGGCTAAAAACGAAAAAACTTAAGCATGTTTCTAACCACTTGTGCAGGACCTTCCTTTAACATTCCTGTCTTAGAATACTGTATAACTTTAAATGTTAGACACACACATTCTCGCCATACCTCGGCCTCTTGTTCTCTATTGGCTGATGCTTCCGAGGTTTGCCAGTTTGCGGGGTTAAAGTTCATCAAGTTCAACTTGGCATGAAGCGGCATGAATTGGCTTTTCAAGTGAATTTTAGTGCAGAGCCCAGACTTTCAGCTTTCAGGACTGAACTTCTCCTGCATTACTCTTATTAGATGACAGAAACCATTTTATTTATGGTAGCATTTTTGGTTCTTTCGGTACCAAAGTATTGTGGAGTGAAGGGTTCTCCCAAGAAAGAGTCCGGGTCCATAACTAGCTTTACTTGGCTTGACTCAAAAACAGTGTATAGAAATTGGAAAACACAGCTCTAAGACAAGCTCTGTTAGCCCATTCTGTTAGCTAGCTAGGCTCACTCTTTGTTTACAATTAAGCCCCTTGAAACTTGCTCCAAACCACACACACAGAACATAGCCCCGCCCTTCAAAATTAGAGTCTGAGAAAAGCATAACAAACACCATTTCTCTTTTAACACCACCAGAACACTGATGTGCACTGACATCAAAGAATATTTGGTACTTCAGGCTGTCGCTGAGCATGTGTGGTTGTAATCAACACTGATAGTCATTTGTTCAAACAGCCTGACTCTCCGTCCTCCAGCCAAAGCCACAGACACCACAGACATAGTTTTTGTATCACAATCGCATAGGCTGAATCTCAAATTGCTGTCAACAACCTGGGTAGTTAGTGCATGATGTAGGCCACAAAATAATGGATTGTACTCCCAAATAGTGCATTATTTATCAAATAGAATGCCATATATATTCATCCAGTAGCTGCACGACTTATCTAACATTTAGAGTGGTACTTCAGTTAGACCCTTTATGTGAATTTGCTTTTTTTTGGTAGGCAGTTTACAGCCTACTGACTTACCAACATGTTTTTTTTTTTTGGCCATGCCAACTCACGTTAAAAGATGCTTCTTGAATCCTGTCATCATCACTCAATTGCTGAGAGCTTATGTGAAAACATTTCAGTTAGGATGAGCCTACTCAGGGCAGAGCAACCTCCATTACTCAAACTCATTACTCTAATTTTTCTGGAAATGATAACTCCAGATATGTTGTGCCATTGTCAGTCAACTCAGAACGAGAGCGACGGTACAGCATGATCTTAGCTACAGCCAGTTTCTAGCTATGCCACTACCAGCAATGGATGACCCAAGATAAATTTAGCAAAGAGTATCAATACAAACACAACTGCCTTTCAAAACTTACTAATGGATTAAATTAGGCCTGTTTACAGCCAATGTAAATGGAATTGGATTAACCATTTTTAATTATGTTCTTACCAGTTTAAGAGGGTTAAGAATGTTAAGTAAACACATCCTCTACAAATTTTATGCATTTTAATACACAATCATGGCTTATTTGCTAAATTTATCATATTGGGGAAAATTTAAATGTAAAATGTAGTCTGTGCAAAAGTTCTTGCACATTTTATATTTTATGTTTTTTTTTTCCAATATGTCGTACCCAGCAAATAAATAGAATGTGTGCACTAAAATGTGCATAAAATGCAATATTTAAAGTTTGTTTCCTGAAAAGGACATGCAAGCTAGACCACGGTATTCACAATTTTGCAAACGACTATATGTTAAGGTTTGGAACAAAATAACATACATACATACATACATACATCATCTAAACCGCTTATCCTTCTGGGTCGCGGTACAAAATAACAGAAATATTCAAATATTAATTCTGCACTGAATGAAATAATTTGTTTTTTTATTCATGTCCTGAGCCCTGACCAACTTAGCTCATAAAAATGTTGTCAACAAGCTAGGACAATGAGTTGAATCCGATGTGTTAGAAAGTTAGACCATGGCTGTATTTAGTTCACACAGTTTTATAATGGCCCTTTAAAAGCAGCATTTTAAAAAGTGAGGGTTTAGTGAGTGGTTTAGTGAACAAGGACATATACATACTTTAATGTGATCAACCAGGTCTTGAGTCAGTTTTGTAGCAAGGCAGTTAACAGTTGCTTTCTCCTCTTGAAGCAGACAACTGTTAATTAAAGAAAAATAAAGAAAACTGATACTTAAGTGTCCAGTTACCTATGAGCAGGTTTAAAGTCACAAAAGAAAACACTTTTCTTGTATGAAGCTCACCTGAAGAAATTATGTTTTTTGAAGAAGTCTCTTTCCTCTTGAATGGCCTGCTCCAGAGAGATTTTATCCTCAATCTGCTTCTGGCCCCGGCACTTAACAATGATGTATCCTTTGCTTAAAGGGACAACCTGATTTCTGACTATTTTCAATATTGTTTTCTCTGTGCCTTTGTCAACAAGGTCTGGCTTAGTAAGAATAGCTGGTAAAAAACAAACAAACAAACAAACAAAAGAAACCATAAAAATATATGCTTTTTTTACTTATACTTTATGACTTATCATTATTATTGCTATTAGCATTATTGTTGGGGAAGAATTAAGTTGTATGTGCTACTAATAATGTGTTTACATATATATTATATGAATAAAGTATTTAATTTAAATATGTGAAAACTGTCACATCACCAAATTGTAACTACAGTTTCTGGTCTTTGGGTGGTAAATTTCTCATGGGAACAGTTACTAGGCCTGTATATGCTAAGATGGACAAAAGACTGCAAACAACACAAATGAATGATCAGTTGTATTTATACTTCACCCAGAGTTCTTTTTCCATCAGGGTCCACCTCCTGTGCCATCTTTAGTGCCTCTGTTGTTGCAATGTCAACATTGCAAGGGACCACGACCAAATTGATGGTTTCTCTTTTTTCTATAAATCTTCGTATGAGGTTTTTGATCTATTTGACGAGAATAGAAGGAAATTCATAAATAATCTTAATTTACTGAATAAAAATGTTAAGTCATAGATTTGTACTGACCTGCTCCCCAATATCATCAGGTTGACCTTTTACAGGAACCCTTGCGATCCCAGGCAGATCGATCAGTGTGAGGTCACAAACACTAGTAGACTTGATCTCCAGAGTGATGAGATCATCACATATTCCAACTCCATCTCCAGCCAACTCATTCTGGGCTGTTAGACAGACGTAACACTTCAGTGTTGCAACAATACATAAAATACAAATACAAAAAAAACCCCAAAAAACTTGTAGATGGCCATCTGGCTAAACATCAGTTTTTTTGTGAGAAAACATTTTGAACAGCAACAACATAAGGAAATAAACATTTTTTTCAGTATTATCAGCAACTGTACAAACCTTTACACACATAAATCTCAACCTGTGATGGGTCTTCAAGCTTAATGCTCTCTTCTTTGTAAGATAGGACTGCTTGCCATTGGACCTCACTCTTGTTCTTCCTCAGCTTAAGCTGCAGAGGACATCTGGTAACAATACCTACAATGGACATTAAACATTAATTTGTTTTGCGGTAGTTTGTCCTCTGGGATAGTTTATTTTTAGAAGACACAAGAATATTATGTAGCTGCAAACAAACAAACAAACATATAAATAAATAAATAAAATCATAATGAACGCTTTATGACGATATATTATAAATTAAGCACTTGATTATATAAATATTTTTCATTCTTTTAAAATTTTGTTTGCCCTGAGAAGAAGATGCCACCCACGCCTGTCATTAATTAGCAATGTGTAATGCTTATATTTGCTAGCATGATGCAAATTTCCACAAGCATCCTCACTGGATTACATTATGTGTGATGTCATCTTATGATGTTATGTTACTATGTTACATTACGATGTCTGTCTCTTGATTCCTCTCTCCTGTGTCGTTCAGTTCCAGTTCTTTAAATGTGCCTAGAGGAATCAAGACGTGCGGAGAGAGGAAGAGTAAAACCTCAATTTTGCACCTGTGTTACTTTTTGTATGGGTGTTCTAAGGGTGTTTGGGCCTAAATTCACAAAACCAGCAGCTGGAGTGTTGATCTACAATTGCCTTCATTAGAGTAGGTTTACTAGGTCAGCGGATAGCTAACAAGCTAATAGGCTCCCCAAACATCCAGGTTCACATCTTATTTGAAGAACTCACTGTACAAGTACACAAATATGCTACTTATTCTGTCCTCTCTTTAACTGGACTGTACTCTACCTCACCTAGCTCAGCAGATAGCTAATGGGCTATCTAACATGCTTCCGAAATAATATTCAGAGACAAGGTTTAAGGTATAATCTTCACTGTAGTGTAAACCCAAAACACAAAACGTTTAAAATGTTACTCGAATGTCTTTTATAAGTTTTAAATACCTGTGTTCATGCTAATTGCTATGAAATGTGTGCAAACATAGCATTAAGAATCTCTCTGGGGCATTAGCACATAATACTGTAAAATCTCCCTGTTATCTAGTCAGTTCAGTGCATTGAATAAATAGGTGCTGTCACTGTAATAGTTGTGACAGTAAAAATAGGCACCAAAATCGTCTCCTCTGCGGTTTAGTTTTGTTTCTCAGTTTTCAATTATTATTGCTTAATTTTGTGCAATTAATTTGAAGTTTAAGGCGGCACGGTGGCGCAGTGGGTAGCGCTGTCGCCTCACAGCAAGAATGGCCTGGGTTCGATGCCCGGCTGGGTGACCAGGGTCATTTCTGTGTGGAGTTTGCATGTTCTCCCCGTGTCTGCGTGGGTTTCCTCCGGGTACTCCGGTTTCCTCCCACAGTCCAAAGACATGCAGTCAGGCTGATTGGACGTGCTGAATTGCCCCTAGGTGTGAATGTGTATGTCTGTCTGTCTGCCCTGCGATGGACTGGCGACCTGTCCAGGGTGTATCCTGCCTTCCGCCCAATGACAGCTGGGATAGGCTCCAGCACCCCACCGTGACCCAGAAGGATAAGCGGTTTAGATGATGGATGGATGGATTTGAAGTTTAATATATTTTAATGCACTTTTTAAATCTTCTTTTGTAGTTTACAGTTTACATACATACATACATCATCTAAACCGCTTATCCTTCTGGGTCGCGGTGGGGTGCTGGAGCCTATCCCAGCCGTCATTGGGCGGAAGGCAGGATACACCCTGGACAGGTCGCCAGTCCATCGCAGAGCAGTTTACAGTTTAATGTAATTTGTCTTTTGAGTTTTCCGGTATTTAAATGTTAAAAGCATGGCTAGCTGAGCTGCATTAATATCTGTGAACCAGGTTAAATGCAACAAATCTTTTCGTAGACTAACATGAAATGAAGCAGGAGAAACTAAAATGAGTTCATGAAATTGTCATTTTTTTGTCACAATGCTGGAGAAGGTAATTGAGAGATTTCCTAATGAGCTGGTAGCATGTTGGGCCAGTTACTGTGGTACAACAGATACAAACCCACATAGAACAATTTAGGGGAGCAGTGAGCAGTCGCACTGGGGCCCATAGCACAGGGTGGATCACAGCAAAAAGACCCCCTAAAATCTTTACTGGACCTCATATTGATGCTGACTCAAGACCCAGTTTCTTGACAACATACCTCAGTTAGCCTCCATCAACACTACACATCCTTGATGTCTATTTGTCTCCTTCTCATTCATAATGAATCATCCATGGCAACAATTTTCAAATGAATCATTCAAAACCTGCAATATGACACATCACTCTGAAACCTTAAATAGGCTGTCAAATGTAAACATTTTAGTCAGCATAAGATGCTAGTGGGTGGAGTAGCATGCCTTCAGATAGAGCTGGTTGGCAATATGAAATGCTTAAGGAAAAGAAACATGGCGAGCTAGAAATGGTTTATAGAATATTAACTGTCATGATTGTCAAATGTAAGATTCAATCTTTCTGGTTTTTTTTATTTTATCACAAGCTGGATCTCATTGTGTAATGAATAAAGGTAGGAAATGAAGAAGATGAAAATACTCAGAATAAAAAAAAAAACATCTTCATTTGAGTGGAGTGGACAACTAGCCTTTCTCTGCTTTTTTTTTTAGGTGTGAGAGTTTTTAGCAGAGAAAATACAGTTAAAGTTCTGGGGATGTGTTACAGAAACGTCCTATCTTTTTGTCTTAAGATCCGGCAGGTCAAGATAAAAATTTTCACAAATTCAAAAGTCTGGAGCCCCTCTGGTGACATCCTGTATAAATAAAAAATAATGCGTGACCACGACTTAATAAGGCGTGGGAATGAGATGATTAAGTCGTGGCCACGACTTAGTAAAGCATGGTAATGAGATCCTAATGCGTGGCCACTACTTAGTAAGCCGTGATCTCATTCCCACGCCTTACTAAGTCGTGGCCACGCATTAGGATCTCGTTCCCACGCGTTAATAAGGCGTGGCCCCGCATTATTTTTATTTATACAGGATGTCACCAGTGGGGCTCCGTAAAAAAAGCAAATATTGTCTTAATTTAATAATCTTATCTTACAGCATTTTATCTTATCTCAAGTTAAGAAACCATAACTTACTCCAATCAAAACTGACAATCAACTGTCATGTCTGTTACCTAGCAACCGACTATAGGCGCACAGCTGAAACGTAAACACGTAATCAAAATAATCAAGTAACGTAGCCAGACAGCTAACGTTAGCTACCGAGGTAAACAAGGTCAAACAAAACTAAAGCACCATAAACTCGAAGTTGAGACTATGGTCTATGTATCAGGGCGTCGCCGCTCTTCAGGTTCACTTTACCAAAGGCTTCAGCTGACCGCGCTAACGTTATTCCTCCTAATGAACAGAAACACGTCCGGTGTTGTGCCGAATTCGGCACCCCTGCCGCGAGATGCACCCCCTCACGGGAGCTGGAAAGTTCATCCGCTTTTACTTTACATATATCGATTTGAAGAACTTGCAAAACATCACCTTCGTCTTGATCAACAACACAATAAATCGCTGTTTTACTGAATGGAAACACCCCAGATGTTCTTCTAAAGTACAGTGACTCGTAAATAGTAATACAATAGTATAATGTAGCCTACATACACCGCTGCTTACTTATTCTACGACATAGCAGTCTGCATTGACTTTGTATGCGGCAAAGCTTGTTGCTTGTTGCTATTTGTCAACAAAATATACATATGAATTTCACCTACTTGTCTTGTCATGTTTCTCACCAGTCTGGATCAGGTTCTTTAGATTTTACACTCTAAAGGCAGTGGCTTGTAAAAAACTCTCAGGAGATGCAGCCCAGTATAAATCGGGATACACTCTTATTGCTGCCATGTAACTTGCATGGATACATACTGTTTGCAAATACATACTGCTAAAATCATTTCATGGTAGACTCAAAAGAAAGAAAATGACAGGGAAATGCTTTGTATAGCAGAACACTGGCCAGGAAAATGCCAGTTTTTGCTAAATTGGTGTTGCATCCCTGAAAATTTATAGCAGAGAACACATGTTGGCCCTAAGTGTATATTACTAATATATTTCATAGTTCTATTCAAACTTTACAAGAGGATACTTTTCAAGTGAGTCCACCTGTCAGGAAAAGAACCCTCTGTTAGATCTGGCTGGGGGGGATGTTGTATCTACGATACTTATACAGGTGTCAGATATCGGTCCAACATATGTGTGATTAAAAACATATCATAGTTGTGTCAACAGAAAGAAAGTTACCTGCCAGGAAATGCACCCCCTCTAAAATCTGGCTACATGATACTTATACATGTGTCACATATTGGTCCCAAATATGCATTACTAAAAAATGTTTCATAGTAGTATCAACAAACCTGCTGGGAAATGCACTGCTTCTCACATCTGGCTACATTATTATTACATCCAGGATGCTTATACAGGTATTGCATATCGGTTCCAAATATGTTGAAGGGATGCAGATTATCTCCTGTAATCAAATTTGAATATTTTGAATTCTTGCTTAAGAATATTTTTCTCAAATCTATGTCAGACATGGCAGTGACCGATGGTAGAGGAGACCGAACTGCGTATTTTAGTCATTGTATATAACTGGATGAAAGGTGACCTTTTGGGAACCTTCAAGGTCTTGGATCTGAGACTCTTGCTGATAAGATAACGAGACACCATATCTTTGTTGACTGAATCTCACCAATGACTCTGTTCAGTTTTGTTTCTAAGCCTATCTAAGTCTACATTATAATAGTTTTGTTTTTTAATGATGGATCAGTAAATATATGTGTAGATTGTCTCATTTACATATGATATGAAAAAGCTCTAACTGCCACGATGAAGTCTGTGTTAGATGGGGGACACACCTGCGAGGGCTCTCACCCCACCACTTTCTTTCTTTCTGTCTCTGTCTATCTGCCTTTCTCTCTCAAGTCTTTTAGCCTGCTGATTTTCTTTAAGCCTTTGTGCGTGTGGTTTAAGTGAACATAACAAACTGTTTAGATTATTTTTCTCTGTTTATATATTTTTCTTATTGTACGTTTCATTGGTATGTTTGCTATCCTGAAAAACATTTTTGGTGCATTTCCTGGC